ACAATAAAATGGGACAAAAAGGGAAACAAACAGGCAAAGCCCTTTGCCTCTTGCCTTCTTTCTCGTGGGTCTGCAACTGCTCTTGGCAGCTACAGCTGATGTGTTGCTCTTCCAAAATAAACAAAATAAAATCTAGTTGCCACATACTACAGCATAGAAGAATGTCAGGAAGTCTGGTCTGGCCTGGGGAAACACTAACAGACTCAGCCACAGCCAGGCAGCACCAGGGAGAGAAGGGATGGATGCCTGTGGGAACTTCAAAGGAAAGGTTCTGTCTGTAAGGAAGAGAACATGATGGCTTCTGGTCTCTGCTGAGAGAGAACCTCTCCCTTCCAGCCATTTGGAAAAGTCCACTGTAACTTCAGGTGCAGCAGCTGCTTGGCCCCCATTGATGAACCCTCTTAATTTGCTCGTAGGACCTGAATTTTGTTAGCTGAATGACTTCTCTCCCCTCCCAATTTTCCAGCAGTTTTCCATGTCATTAACACAATGAGAGCTTGCAGCAAAGACAAGAGCTCAGATTTCACTAGATACCCTCAAGAGTGCATCTTGATTACCATCAGTGTAGGTTTTCATTTTTTCCCTTCACTATAACCAGGATGATTTGAATGAGCAGTATTTAAATGGCTGCAGAACAAGCACTGCACTGCCATGCATTGCAAAGGCTTTGCCTGAAACCCTGTTTTGCACAGAGAACGGTGGTTAAGCATCTGGAAATGGGGATGGTTTGTTGTGCTGCAGCATCTGGCATGGGTTGGATGGAAACCTGGTGTGTAAGCTGCCACAGTGCACACCTGACCAACTGGAAAGGAGCTGATGGATGGATAATGGAAGAGCCGTGCTGGACTATTTAAATATAATGTATTTTCTGTTGTCACATAAGGCTTCCCACAGGAATGTGAATACGAAAAAGATTCAGTGCAGTCTTGTCTGTGACAATCTGAGACATTTTGCACATCCAGCATCTTTCCAGCACAATGGAAAAGCACGAAGGAGAGCCTCTGAGCCGCTCGGCTCCAGAAATCACTCCACACAGCAGCAACCTCCAGCGAAACAGCCTCACAGCTGCTCCAAAGAATTCCAGCTGCTAACACATCCTCATGAGGAGCCATCTGCTAGCAAGAGTGCATCAATACTGCGCTGATATGCCTACAGCCTCCACCTCACAGGCTACAGGTGCAAGCAGCACAGCAGGCCTTCGCCATCCAAAAAGTTTACGTAGTCCCTGGCTTGAAAGATGAGCCTTCCCTGCAAGCTTGCAAAGACTGGGGGAATCAATCTTCCAAAACAACAACTTCCCGGGTACATTTGTTGATAGTAAATTAGTTTGTGCTCAAGAGCCTTTTTGTGCACCCTCTGCATCCCACTTTTAGCCTCAGGTAGGCCAGGAGTGAGGTACGTGTGACGTGGGCAGAGCTGCCAAAGACTAAACAATGCTCCTCTCCGTCTCTGCTCACCTGTGTTTGCCAACAAGCCACACACAGATGAAAGAGCAATGGCCACAGTAGACTTCAAGCACCCAGAAAAAGCCACAGTAAAAGGCTGGGAAGGAAAATCCCCTCCCAGTGTGTGTTTGGGGAGGCATGGTGAAAAGCTACATACACCACCCCAGAGGCAGCTTTTTGGGGTCACTTCATACTAAAGAGATCTTTAAAGGGCAGAAGAGATCCCCATTCTGGATGAATCCTTAAAAATTCTGTGTAAACATACTGAAGAAGACATCAAGCAGAACTTCTTCATAAGGGCCTAGGTAAAAGCATGCTACTTTTGGGGATGGTACCTCTCATGAAATGGAAGCCAATATCTTCCTGCAATCAGTGGCAGGCACAGAAAACTCTTGCAGCTCCGAACAACATATCCCACATACACAGGCTCACATCTTTTCCTGGCTACATGCCTCAAAAGCAGGACTAGAGCACGAATCTTGCTGTCTCAGTGGGCACAACCCACTGAACTGGCTCACCTGTCATATAGGGAGGATGCCACTGGCACAGGGTGAAGGACCCACATATGTGGCTACCCTACTTCTCTCCTGAAATGCTGGGCTAAGCCAGAAAAGTTAACAAGGACAAAAATAAACAGCTCTGTACTCATCAAATCTCTTGCTGGGTAACCCCTGGGTAACCAGCGCCCCACTGCAGGAATGTCACAATCTCCCATGCCGGCACAATAATCCAGGGACTGTTCCTGAAGGTTAGGGAAGTTTATTTTTACAACTTTGCACAGTGCCTACAAATCTATCAGCCACACAACATCTGGTTCAGGCACTGCCCTTTGAATGGTTTTTCTGTTGGTGCAGTAATTAAAGGTATCCCAGGTGACACCTGATCCCTTATCAAGTTCATTAATTTAAGTGGAGTTATTTGGCTCTCTATTTTCTATACTTCATAATGTATTTCTAACCTTTAAAGTGACATAGGCAAGGACCAGATTGCAGGGGCGCTTATTAACAGCCTATTAAAATATTTTATGGCCTTTATTTTTACGTTGCCATAGGGAATCAAGTATTTTGCTGTTGTTAAACAGGCTCAGGATTTATGTTTCGAGAGCTTCACCACAGCCTAACGCAGAGTAATGCTAGGAAATGAGCTGGGAGAACAAGCTCTCTTTCAGCTCTCCATGTGCTGTAAAGCTGTCACATGCAGATGGCAGCAAGGGGCCCTCCAATGCAGGCCCTTGGTTTGGTTTGTTTTATTAAATATAAACTGATACAACGAGACACAAGGCTCTGGAACCTGGGTGCCTTTTTACTAACCCTTTAGACCCATGGAGGGTTGCTCAGATAGGACCTTTGTGGTGCCCTGTGAAATAAATATTCTGCGGCTTTTTATTCCAGAGCTGCTCTATCACATCCATGTTTTGCAACTGACTTAGAGCCAATGACTTTACAGGAATTCCATGATCTTACCTCCAAGAAGACTATGATTGTATCTAGAGGACAACTATGATCTTACTGAAAACTTTTCTCAAGATTGCAAGCCCCTTCCTCCCTAGGAAACCCCCCTCCAAAGGGAATTCTCCTTTCTGTTACAAATCTGTACTTCCTCCTAACTCAAGCACACCCAACACTGAGACAACACATGTCTTGAATTTAGAGAGTTAATGATGTCCTGCTTAGGTATTCAGAAATTACAATCAAGTCTGTTCTGAAATGCTTGGTTTGATAAACTTCCTGGGGTGAGCCTGGGGTCTTCCCGAGTTTATATTATGTTGCTCTTATTTTCTCAAGCATAAAAAGTAATTTGTAATGAAGCAATGCATTTGGAAGAGTATCAGCAACATACTTAAAAGTATTTTAATTGCTTGTGTTTTCAAAACGTTTTAATGAAGTCAAATCAGGAATAGACACTCATCTGCCAAAGAGCCTATAAAATATTTTACAATGACATTATAATTGATGCAACTGGTTGTATAAATTCCTGGCATTTTAAACAAAGATAGTAGAGATTAGCTCAAGAAGATTATTCAGTAGGCATTTATTATTTCTGCTTTAATTATAAGGGTTTTGTTGTTTTTCTTCTTCCCAGTTTTTAATTTAAATGTCATACTGTAAGATGATTTTGTGTGGGTAATCTTAAAGAGACTGCTCTCAGCGAGCAATCCCACAGCACTAATGCATGACAAGTAGCCATATTAATAAATATTATTAAATGTACCATGCCTTTAATGCCTCATCCAAGACCAAATGACAGACTCTATTTCTGGGATCAATCCTGGACATCCAGGAGGGATTTCTCCTCTAATTTCATTTTACGGCAGAGCAATGGCAGGAAGAATTGAGGCTTCCTGCAGAGCAGACTCCCTGTAACCTGGGTGAACAAGGGCTCTGAGGGTTTCTGAGCTCACTGGGTCTCCTGCATTTGTGCAGACTCCAATTCCCTTTCCTCCCAACCCTTGAGGGAGAAGCTGCACCTAAGACACTAAAACTTCACCCACAGGACCATGCCAGGTCATGGCACACCAATGGCACTGCAAGCCCTGCCTGCTGAGAAAGCTTTTTTGGGGGGCCTTGACCTGGTTCAAATTAAAGCTGCATCTGCAAGAGCAGCTCAGCAGTAAGAACAACAGCCTTGCTGAGAGCTGCCTTGCAAGTGTGCAATTCAGACATCTTCTAAAGAGCTCCCCTTATGCCTCTTCTCTCTCTCCTACCACGAATGAGAGAGGAGAACCCACTTCAAGCCGTGTTGCACCACACTCTCCTTTCCTGGGTGAGCAGTAAAGCGCTAACTCCCAACAATTTCCTCCTCCTGAAGCTCATTAGATGGTTTTATTAATTAGCAGGCTCCCAATCTTATCATGCGCTGCACCTGAAATCTGGCTTGTGTTTTTGAAGAGAGTAATTAAAGCCAGAGGTAGCTGAATAAACAGGCACTGACAGAGACTAATACCCTACCAATATAATGAAGCAGCTTGCTAGACAGTAAGATGCCCAGGCTCAGATGTTAACCCAGTGCAAGGGCAAAACATGCTTTGGCTGGCAAGCACATCCACCTGCTGATGTGGGCACCCCCAGGAAAATCCTGGATAACTTTGCTGAAAGCAGTATCAGACTCCGGGGGAGAATTTGGGTCATGGAATCTGTTAGGGGCCAAAACAAACAGAAAACAAGTAAGGCAGCTGCCCTCAGAGCACACAGAAGTAGTAATAATCAACTGTTTCAACACCTTCCCTGTAGAGACTGCAATAATTAGCTGGTAATTATTGGGCATAATTTCCTTTACGTATACTAGAAGGTTACCTGCTTCAAGGACAGAAAATGTAGCTTTGCCTCCTTCGTGCAAAATTGAATGGAAAATGCCAACAATTGCAGCCAAATCCCAGTATAGTTCTTCATCATCAGCCACTTGGTGTCTTTTAGAAACCACTCTGCAGTGCCATAGCCGAAGATATTATCCCTGGTTAGCACTGCTGCTGCCAGAGCTGGCTCCCCCGTTTTGCACCTCAGAGGAATGAGGGAATAAACAGCAAAAGACAGAAACAGGGAGAGAAAAACCACTTACTTGATATTGTCAAGACATCCAGATTCAGGTTTCAGTATGGCAGTATGATGAAACATTTTATAGAGAGCAATCCCAAGGAAGATGACATTAAGCTGTAATGGAGGGGGAAGAAAAAAAAAAGGATTATGTGACACAGCACAACAGGGTGGGGAGAAAGTCAGCTCCTTCTCTGTAACAGATGGGTTACTGTAGGAAATTAGCTCATGGTACAGCTTTATAGTGACTGAATGACAGAGAGTTTCTAAGAATTTTATAAGGTGACTTGGCCTGTAGATTACAGGACCGGTGATGCCATAGCCTTACCACAGCTGTGGCACTGCTGATACAAGGCTGGTTCTAACCTCAACTGTACTGCTTCAAAGAGAATTATGGAAAATTTAAAAGAGCAAGGGCTTCTCTGTGTCTGAGACGTGTACAGTTGTGAAAAGTCACTCCCAGCATCTTACTCAGCCAGCCCCATTGTAATGAAGCAAAAAAGCATCTTTTTTTGGTGAATACACCTATTAAACACGTCGGAATGGGGCAGGTAGGCAGGGAAAGCACAACTGATTGTACTTTGCACAATGCAAAGTTGAAAAACAAAAATAAAAAATTGTTTGATTTTTTCTGTAAAAGATGCGATGGTGTTTCCATGCCTCAGTGCTCACAAGGCGGTCAATTCCTGGAAAGGAGTTTCCCAAAAAGCCCAGTCTAGGATTTGAGACATAATCAAAAAGGGAAGATATCTTTTTATGAATGAATTGCTTAAGGGGGAAAAAAACCCCAAGAGTTGTAGTAGGTGGCATGCCCCCCTTCCTGATGTGGAAGGTTGCTGAAATGGCTCCCAAGTTGCAGGAGAAGCAGAAGAAGCAGAGACAATGTCTGCATTGAAGTCAGAGTGCCTGGTTTTCTGCGCTAGCCAAACTGTAGCCTAGTCAAAACAAAGGATGGTTTATTTAAGCCATATTGTAGCGATTAAAGTATAAGAAAACTCCAGCTGTCTCTGAAGTTGGGTTCTCTACCTTGTTGCTGTGTTAGCTGATATGCTGGCAATGTGCTGAACATGAAGTCACACAAGTTTCAACTTCTGCTGGTTAGGAAAAACCCTCAACAAACTTTTTTTCCAGTTTGGACTTTTCTTTATCCCCCCCTCCCCTGCTCCCAGATTTTCCCTTTTTTTTTTTTTTTTTTTTTTGTTATCAATGCAAAACTTCACTCTGGAATTCAAAAAAGGTGTGAGCAGTGAGTGGCATCAAAACAGTTTGGCACTTCTAAATGTCCAGTGGTAAAAACCAAACTCTGCAAGTGCCTGTTCTGAAGCTCCCTGGTCCATTTTGATCAAGTATTTTGCAATGCCAAGAGCCTCTCATAATGAGGGTCTAATTGCTATGCCAGGTAGGGTCAGAGAAGAACATGCCTTCCTCAAATTAATCTGTGTAAATTAAAGATAAAGCGAAAAGGGACAGCAAAAGTTTTATTTCTTGACCTGAGAGATGGAGTAGTTAATTAGGAGTTCTTACCATAATTATCAAGGTCGCTGGTCCTATAAAGCTCCAAATGAAGTAGGTGTCAAGTCGGAGCCAACATCTGTAATGAAACACAGGGGAGAGAAGGCATTCAAGGACTGCACCCAGGACATACATCAAGAGTGAGAGAGTGACAGAGAAGAATGTGAGCTGCAAAACACGCCGGTGGGAGACAGGAAATATTACATTGCTTGTTCATTTAAATGCTGAATTATGTGCCCAATTTCTGACAGCGCTATTGATGGAGTAAGATAATTACCTCTAGAGGAAGCAGGGAGAAAATGGCACAAGGCCTATTTGCTTAGGCCTTCTGCATCTGTTGGAAAAACTCCTCAAACCATGGGTTTTTTTAAGGAAGGGGTCTGATGAATATCCACAGAACTTCTCTGCTTTGTGCTGCTCTTTGCTCTCCAGCTCTGATGCAATGCAAGCTGTCTGTCAGCTGTCAAGCACGATGACATTTCTCTAGCAAGTACATCAGAGAAACTTTGGTGCAAATAGGAAGCATGAATTGGATAACAGAAGGCTGAGGTTTAATTAGGTTCAGCAACTTCCCCTTTAAAGTGTTTTATTTCCCTGAACCTCCTGAGTATTTTGTTTCCACTAATGTTTCCAGGGTTGCATATGGTCTGCGCTATCACAAGAAGTTGATTCATGGCCTAAAACTAAATTATTAATCGCTTAATTTCAACCGCATTTAATACTCCCCACATTTTTTAAAGCCCCTGGGAAATTACATTTCCATTCCTAGTTCATTTCAGGCGACAGGAAGATAAAATGGAAGTGACTCGTTACAAGACAGACAAATGTAAATTCCAAGAAAGTTTCACATGATGTTTAAAATAATAATATCTCGTCGTCTTTGCAATGCTGCAAATCACAGTTCCGTTTATACACAAAGGACTGAGAAAGCATAAAACCACTCTTCTACTAAACGTCCGACAGAATTTCATGATTAGGCAAGTGACAGGAACTGTATATATGAATTTATCATGGTGGTGGAGATAGCAGTTCTCACAAATGACAGCTCTAGTGTATGTGCCTAATGCTTTTTCCCTTCCAATGGACTTTGCAACAGGCAGAAAGGTCTGTGCCAGCAGCCCCATGGGAGATGATCAGCAGAAGATGTCTTACGAGAGAATAAAGCATGCCCTGAACCTCTGTGGCTAGGAGAGGCCAAAATATGAATAAATTCAAATATGCAGAGAAAACTTCTCACTTCCCTTCCTGACCATATAAATTTCAGGTCTCATCAGTGTTGGAGATGTATTGATATATACACACACTCATAAGGCTATGTGTCACAAATTAAAATTCTGTCACTTCCATAACTGTCATTCCTGAACTGCCTCTGCAGTTGCTCATCCAGAATCCTCACGTGATAGCAGCAAAATCTTAATGCAAGAGGCAAACAGAGGCTTTCAGAGCTATTGCTGGGAAATCTTGTTTCCTCCCTGACTGCTGAAGTTCAAGGTGATTTAGATGCAGCTGGTAATGGAACAACATGAGTGACTCAAAACTACTTGAGTCTGATTCCCTATAGGAAAAGGTTTATGCCATCATGACATCTGTGTATCACCCATAATGCTATCTGAAATGTCACCCAATTGCAACTAGATTTGACAAAGGAATAGAGGTCTCAAGGATAATGAAGTCCCTGTAAAAAGTGCCCCCCCATTCCTAAACAAGGATGTCCGCATAGCAGCAGCTCGCATATTTACACAGCATTTCAGACTTTATACCTACCCCATCCCCCTCAGGAAAAATGAGTAACTGGTGCTTATGCCTCAGCTGCTGCATATAAATCACAGAATACGCAGCCCCATCATTTTTTTCTACTGATAATGAGTGCTGGCGTGTGGGAGAGGACTCGGAGGGTTTTGGGGTTTTTTTTAACGAAAATATTTTGAACTTTTTTTTGACAGTTTAATATTCAAAACAACCCCTAGCCCCTGCTGCCCAGAAGTTGGGAACACTGTATTTTAGTCACCATCAACTTAGTTTTCCTTCAGCATAAAGAGTGACCTGGATCTTGGAAAGTCTGAGGAAGAGGAAAAACATAAACCCTCTCTTTACTTCTTGAAGCACAGTGATCACCCTTCAGTCACATCTGGTGCAGCTGGTTTTGAATGCATATAGATTGGGACATGGGGAAAACCAGGGAAAGCTGAAATACAGAATGAGCAAAAACTGTGCCAGGCTCAGCAAAGAAGAGCAAAGCAACTGGTACCTCTTCCAGACAGCAAAAAGAATGAAATTTTCCACCCCGCTTCCCTAAAATATCTGTCTCTTCATTTGTAGAAAACAACTGAGGATGCTGTGGATGAGAAACAGCAGAGGAACCAGGTCCTGCCATCAGGGTAAGTGGGGGCCAGGCATGGAGCAAAAGGAGCCCTAGGAGAGAGGCCTTCACCTAAGCTGGAGCACAGCTTGTGAAAAACAGAGAAGGCTTTTTTAGGCCTCTCTGCACACTTCAAAGAATGCAATGTCATTTTTTATTTGTTTGAATGGAAAATTTGCCTTTCTGTGAAACAGTGTACAATACTCAGCCTTGGGGGACTTAAAAAAAAAATGGGGTTCTTGTTGGTGGTCATCAGGAAGAGATGAAACTCTGAACCTGTGTAAGTCACACCTCATTAAAAATGCAAATTAAGACAAAAAACATCAAAACACAGGCATCCCGCCAATTGCGTTGTGGAGCTGTAAATTGCTAATCAGACAAGTACCACACTGAGCTTTTCTTGCCTTAGAAGACAAAAACCCACACGCACAATGAGCTGCATAAATGAGCTCCTCCAAACAAGGAAGCAATCAGGCAACTCACTTCCCAGAGCTGCTAATCTTGGGCTGCTGAGTTACTTGTGACCCTCCACGAGCAGCTGTGCTGTGAGCACGGACTTGCCACATTACAAGTTTAGGCTGTGCTGCCACTGAGCAAACACTGAGCCTTCGGGGCTCAGTGTACGGCAAGGGATTATCAGGAAATGTGCATATGTAGGGAACACTGCTCAAAACCCCACTGCTTCTTCTAGGAGTCACCCCAATGCATTCACTTCTCGTGACAAGCTCTGTGGCACTGCTCTCTTTTACTTTTTAATTTCCTCCTTTTCCACAGTGGCAACTCACAATATTCACCTAAGGCTTTGCCCAAGTAATAAAGACTACAAAGAGTTTACTCTATTTTCTGCATGAAGAGAAATCAAATACTAAACTATCCCCGGTGTGCATTAAATATAACCAATAAACAATCATTAGCTGCCATTGGACCATAAAATTTGAAGAGCCCTAAACATATCATGTTGTTCATGGGAGCTCAGTGGTTTGTTTCATGTGGCTGTACAGCCTCCTTGTCAGGGTGCAGCAATGGGATATGCATGCACCAGACATGCCTTTCAAGGGTGCAATATAGGTTCTGCTTAATGGAGTTCAGCATCCACATAGCTCACGCTTCCTCCTCCAAATGCTGGCAGCAGCACTGCAAATAAAACAAGTTCAGTGGAGCCACCCAAGACAGACCACATTGTTAGATGCTATTTTCTGAGCAGCATTTACATGCATGAAATGTCGGCGCCTGGCTGATGGACTCGGAGGCTGTGTACATACACAGGGCTTTCATTTTGCTTTCTGACAGCTGGATTGCTTACCATGTATATCCTGCTTTATAGCATTCCAAAAGGGGGGAAGAAGGGGGGAGAGACAAAAGAGAGATTCCTGCCATAATGGATTTGATCATCAGTGAATGAATATACCTACAAGTTTCTAAAATATATTGAACAACTCAAAGCGTAGCTGCTTTCCTCTGCAATTTGTGAGAGGCTTTGATAGGAAACCCAGGGAAGTATGGAAATATGGAATAACTTCTTTCTGCTCATTTGGGATGGCCTGCTTCTAGCATGAGTCTTCTCAAAGGCCACTAAAGCCATAATTGAGCTTTTACTGAATTTTAGATGCAAGTTATTTTCCAACACTAACTACAAATGCAAATACTATTTTCTATACTATTTTCTTTGCATTTTGCAGCATTGCCCACCATGACCCTTGACATCATATCTATCGAGGAAATGGGTGGACTTGGTTAACACATGGGATAAGGCAAATTATTTCTCTTTTAATTTATTTATTTTAAGTACAATACCAGTATCTTCTTTTTTGCAGCCTAACTTGAGCTGTGGACATTTAAGACCCAAAAGCTGAAGATTTGGCCTGTAAGAAATGGTAACTCGGAAGTTCAAGAGAACACTGCCAGAATCTCTTTAGCAATGTGGGAGAACCACACTGTCTGCAGTGGGGTTTCCTGCTTTTCATCTTCATTTGAGAGATAAGAATCAGAATAAGGTGAGACACAACATTTCTGATTTACCTCCAATATAGTTGAGCTACCCTGAATGCGATGATCTTTTAAGGGAATTTTTGCTGCTGCTTAGCCACAAAAGCAAATTAATCTCCTAATACAAGGGGTTTGAACTGTTCTAAAACAAACAAAAAGAACTAGGAAAAGGATCAATCCCTACCCTTGAATTAATTATAAGTGTATAAGAATATCTTTATGGAGTAGCTACTCGAAAACGCCAATATGAATAATAGGACATGGGACACTTCAAGAAAATCACAAGCACCAAGTGATGAGTAAAGCAACAGAGGGAGGAACAACTGCCTGTTCCTGGCTATGTAATGTGGGCATGTGTTACAGGAGCATTGGATTTAGAAAGGAAAATGAAATCAAGAAAACCCTAGACTGCGTGTTTAAGCAAATCATTCTGAGATGTATGAATGGTGGCACCAAATGCCAGGCAAAAAACAAATAACACTAACAGCTCCATAAGTCCTGCCTAAACAAATGCAGTAAATAATGGAGGGAGGCAAGTAATATATTCCAGAGGATGTTTTACAAAACCTGGCAAAACCAAGCAACTTCTTGCAATCAAATTATGCATGCCTGGCATATAGTTCACTACAAATTCTAATCAGTTCTACCCTTCTAATAACATTATACTGAAAAATACATCATCATCCATCAACCAGATGGAGCATGATAGTTATACAAAACATATTGTATGGTTTTTATTTTCCTCTGTGAGAACGTGATAAAATTGTACATTCTGGAATTAAAAATGATAAATAAATATTTTAGATTTGCAAATCTCTGTAAATATTTATTTGCAAAATATTATATATACATGTTTAATCATTTAAAATACCACTTAGTTCTGTGGTGAGGGAGACATATTTTATTGGCACACACACAGGACTGCTGCCTCTTCAATGCCAAGATAGCAAAGTGTTCGCCTTCAGGGAATTTCAGCCAAACTTTCTGCCTGCACCTTCCATGCCATGGAAACATTTTGGCAACCAAGGTCTATTTGCAAAAGCCAAAGGGTGAACAGTGTGGAAAGTAGCCACAAAATACTACACTGTAAACTGGACAGGTTAGGACAGTGCTCCAGCAACGGCAGATGTGCTGTCCTTTCCAGACTACTGGAATATGTTTGAGGCTTAACGTGCCTGATGTAGGCCACTGTGAAGAGCTATGTCCTCCACAGGAACACCACAGTTAAGAATAAATTTGCCTAAAGGGACAAGGCAAACTGTTTCCATACCTGATTTAATAGGTGCTTATATAATGCTCAAGAGGGGGAGTGAATAGAAGAGTTTGTTGGGGCAGGAAGCAGGTGGCAACTGATGGAAAATCTCCTTCAGAAATGGCAATCAGCTGTTGTGTTACCTATTCTTTGCCCTCTAGGCCTGTAAAAGTCAGTCAAACTACTCTGGATAAATTGGTAGAGATCCTAAAAAACTTACACCCTCCTACCCTTATCTGTAGGAGATTTCCTTTCCTTTCCATGAAGTGTGACATTTATACAAATTCAGGTCGCTGCTCTCCTACTCATGGGAGGAACACAAAACAAATATCCATCTGGGAGCCAAGCTTGCCTGCTGGCATGGTAATGGATTATGAGCAGCTCCACTGCTCTACAGATCTGCTTTTTCAAAAAATAAAGGTTCATATATACAAATAAGGTTTCAGGCAAAAAATCTGCTGTTGAACCTAACAGAAAATCAAATGCTGCCATGGCCTGACCTGATCTATGCCAAAAAAGAGCTTCAGAACCAACAATGGCTCTTTACTATATATGCTTTCATATTGAGCCCTTAACTCAGTTAAAATGAGACTGGAAAGGCAGACTGACTGAAAGGGAAGAAAAAAAAAAAGTCAATAAAAACACACTGTTAATCCTATTGTAGCAAAGATGGCAAAGAGAATCAAACATTCAATCTTCCCCTTGTTTTCCATTTAACAGTGTTGCATGATAATCTAACTTGTGCTCTCATACCAGCTTCAGCAATGTTGAAAACACTTTAGAATACTCGTAATGATAAATGATATAGCTGCTCTGATTTGCAAAGAGCCTAATGCATTCCATAGTCACCACCTATTTTGCCTGCAGGCTCTGTTAATTTGATAGAATGTTTTTAAAAAAAGAGGAAGAAAGCAGTATCTTCATCCAAATAAGAAATACTCTTTGGTTAGAGGAGGAGGATCTTGCTGATATAGTACCAAGCTGAAACTAGGGACAGTGACCTCTGCTGATGTTATGCAATGATGTGACAAAATTTTCCTTGACTGACTTCCCTAGAAAATACCTTTGCAAATGAATTCATAGCAGGGAATTTGTCCTGCAAGAAACACAGAGATAAGGCAAGGCACGCCTCCTGGCTGAGTTCTGGCTGAACAACTCCTCTGGGCTCCCCATGTCCATTTGTTGCCCCCACTCCCACCTCTCCTGAGCAGGTGCAGGCAAAGCCACGGTCACTCACACTTTGTCCGTGCCGTAGCTCCGGTAGTCCACTGCTGCCGACACGGCCACAATCAGCGCAGGCATGCCGTACCCCACCAAGTAGAAATACTTCCTCCGGGAGTGCTCGCTCTCAAACACCTCCACCAGCATGATGTACAGCTGCACACCCTCCAGGAACATCCAGGTGAAAGCTGCCAGGAAGAAGAAGTGCAGGAGGGCAGCGAAGACGGCACAGGCAATCTGTGTGAGGATTGAAAAGAGCAAGGAAAGCTGTTTGTAGCATGATTAATTAATGCAACAGTCAGGAGTACTCTTACTTGGAGGCTTAATAAAAATGAGGGTGTTCTTATCTTTCCTCTCCAAAGGAAGAACTTTTTTACACTTGGGAAATATGTGTGAGTTGTTTTAAAATAGTACAAGCATATATAAGTGATACTAAAAGATACAAAGGCAAGCACATACACAATCATGCAAATAAGCAGATGACGATGTACACAGTATAAGCTCATTTTTACAACCTGCTTATTAAACATACACACACATTGACAAGCAACACACATACAGCCCCTGAAATCCCAGCAGGCATCAGCATGTGAGTCCCAGTTATTAACTAGGGGCCCAGCCCTTTGAGGACTCATGCATGGCATGAAGACAGTGCTGGAATGTTTCTCACTGGTCAGACACAGCAGATGCACTGAGACAAGAGCCTGTGACAGAAGCAGAAAGTGCTTTGTCTCTTACCGGCTGGTCAGTCCGGTTGATGCCGATGAGGAAGAGGAGCTCAGCCACAAAGAGGCTGATGCACAAGTTCTTGTGAATCGTGTTGCGGTCGCTCTGCAGCCCACGGAAGAAGCAGAAGGTGAAGATGCAGATCAGGAGGCAGACCAGGGAAAGCAGGATGCCAACCCATGTGATGAAGTCCAGGAGTAGGTCGTGGACTGCATCGCTGTGCTGAAAGTAAAACAAAAAAATTTCATCAGGTGCATGATGCATGACTTCTAATGCACACAGAGTGAGGTTGTTTGTAGTACAAGGCATGAGTAGCAAAAAGATTAAATGCACCTAAACTTGAACCCTGCAGCAAGAAAGCTGCAACCTGGAACACAGACTCCAAAGCATCTTGCAAGTTGCAGGTGCCCTGAACAGACTCAGACTCCAAAACCTTGCAGAAGCATAATGCTGTTGATGAAAATACTGAGATATCAGGGCTAGTCTTGTGTGCGACTCAATCTTGCACAAGCATGGCAAAGGAGTGCCTGGACACCCAGTATACAGAACTACTGAACAGAGTGATTCAAGTGTAAAAAAGCATTTCATGCTAACAACATCATGTCCAACAACTGCAAGTCCATTACAACCATTTGCCAACAGTGAAAAAAGACTCTCTTTAAATGTTCAGAGATGTATGAGCTCGGAGGCTTTGGAAAGAAAGAGATTGCTTAATTTTTTTTTTCTTTTTCCGCAGGGGAAGGAGAAAGGAAGTTTGATTTTTCTTTTTCAAACCCTGGAGTTATATTTTAGAACTCCTAGGAAGTCAGATTGATCCTGAGAACATTACCCAGAAAAAAAAGACAGACCTTTTAACACGAATTTGCTTTTAAACTGTAACAGAGCAGTGATTTTAAGACAGCCTGGAAAGTGACTGATTCCCTGTGATGAACTTTTAAACCTGGATGTACTTCAAAGCCATGCAAACAAAGCCAGTGCAAAACTAGGCAACAAAGTTTTCTGAGAGTCAGGATAGGTGAGCCTTGGCTCTGCTGACAAAACACTGCTGCATTGCTCCTGAGCTTACACTGCATGACTCTCATGGAAAGAGGAGGCACATGATGAGACCTTCCTGGTGAGAGCAGTGCACTTCCCTATTCAGGCTGTAAAACTCGTCCGTAATTCCCCAAGTTTCCACCAGATGTGGTGAAATTATAGATATCATTACTTAACAAAATGTAAATAAAACACAAGGAATACATGATGAGCCATGAGAAAATTGCTTGGCTAAGTAGTTAGAGTCAATGACCTGGGGAACAGACTGGCTGGAAATCTCTGGGGGCATTTCACAAAGACCAGAGTAGCTCAAAGCCCAGCTTTGTGATCCACCAGGTTGTGTTATAAATGGTAATCACATTCTCCACCATTTCTGGCATTTTGATGACTTGGGCATTATGTAGGCTGGCAAACACAATAGTGTCACACTTCAAAAAGCCAGGGCAAAGTAGAAACATTTTTCTCTCCGTGGGATAAAAGCTTATGACAGATGGAGGGAAAAGGTGATTAATTTATCCACTTTCTTTGCCTGGTTGCCAATGATAAAGTTGCATCAAATGTCAGGCCTTTCCCGATACACACTCTGCTATGTCGGCACATGCAAGAAACATCTCAAACCTTTCAGCTCTTTGGCTTTACCAGCATGAGTGAAAGGCATCAAATGATAATGAAAGATGGGGAGTGATTCTCTGCTCCATCCCTTCCATGCTGGAAGTTTTGTCTCCAGGAAGACTTGGAGGTGGAGAGATGGAGGGCTCCTTTGCCCAAACCCCCTTGCATCTCTTTCCAACTATTTCCAATACCTAAGGAACTAGAGGTCACAAGTCCAATGGGGAGACAAGAAATCATTGTGTGCTTTCTGTGGCTCATGACAGAAATGCCTATTCCAGCCAGCTCATCCAGCAGCGCCCAGAAACCTGACAAGATGAAGCACATCATTTCCCTGGCAGCTGCGCATTGCTTTATCTCAGTGTCATTCCAGATCATCCATCCCTCTTAACTCTGCGGAAAAATGTTAATGCAAACCTTGCACCTTGCAAATCATTCTTTCTTTTGTCTGAGGCTGCAGGGGGATGGCACGAGAACATCTCCCTGAACAAACCCTCGTCTGATTAGATTGGCCTGCCAGGCTGAATGGACCAAGAGCTCTTGGAGAAGGCAGCTAATGCAGGTGGATGCAGGGAGAAAGAAGCCAGGCAGACTTTGGCCAGATGTACACACTCCACCCAGATGGGGCCAGATTCATCCATTCCAAGACAAATTTAGCATGGTGCAGGGAAAATTCTCCAAGGGCTTCTTCTCTCACTGGTCCCATCTCCTGCACCTCTGATCACAATACCACAACTCTGCTGAATTTAAGACATGATGCAGGAATTAAAGGTGGTTTTGCCCTTGGAGAGAGATCCCACCATCTAGGTTCTATGCCTTCTTCAGGGAAGGGCTGCTTGCCCAAGAAGCTCACTGTGCTTAGCAGTAAATATGCTTCATTGCTGTATCATTATTATTATTACTATTATCACTCTTACTGCTTTTCTTTTTAATATTAATCGTAAAGATAATACTGATTTTATGTAGGCAACACTCATCCCTGGAGTGCTGGGAAACAACCATAAAAACAGCTTCTCCATAATTACAAACTCCCTCCCCACACTCAACAAACTCACAGAAGAACAAACAGAAAGGAATGATAACAATGAACTGGGAACAAGAGCAATTTAAAAACCCCTCAGGGGGAAAAAATATGAATTTGTACCTTTTCTAGTAAAGTCCAAGAGAAGAAGTGAGCTGAATTTTAAAGGCTGGGTACGCTCCAGCTTGTTTGAGATGCCAGTTTCAGGTGCTACTGCAGAGCAAATGGATCAGGAAAGACTTGATAAGCACTGGCATCCTTCCCATGGCAGTGCCAACTGCTCCCTCAGGGCAGGCACATCCAGAGCTTGTACACCAGCAAGTACAACAAAAGGCAACTTGCCTTTTGCTGGAGACTAAAACCTGTAAATTTCCGCACTGTTATATAAATTGGAATAATATGGGAAAGGGAACAACAGTGGTAACCTCTCCCAGTGCCATGAGGTTTTCCTTGCCATCACCTGATCGCTGTGTGACAAACCAGGAGCAGCATAACCTGGCTTACACAGGTGGTATATGGAGTTCCAGGGTTAAATATGATACAGGGCACACCAAGATTCTGTATGTAGGTCTCAGCCTTCAAGCCTGGTCTCTTAACCATAGAAAAATGCAAGAAGAGCAAATTTTCTCTTTACCTATCCAGCACAGTTGAAAACTCCTTGACTGAGGATAAAACAGCTCAGATCTGCATGGTAACCACTGAGTCACAGCATTGGAAGGGACCACTAGTGGGGTCATCCAGTCTGAGCTCCCTGCTCAGGTCCAACTGGACTCTGTGCCACTGATCATGACCCTCTGGGATCTGCCATTCCCAGAAGATCCCTAGGAATATCTTTCCAGCACAATGAAAGCCCTAGGGTCTCTAAAGCATCCAACATACATCTGAGACCACCAGTGTATTGACTACAATCACCTCTTGCTTCTCAATGATCCTCCCAAATACTTGGGCAACCAGCGGAGCCCATAAGAAATACCAGATATCAGTCCAAGAGACAATTCCTGACAGCATCAACCAAACAACTCCTTGCCCAAATGCACCATGGCTCTGCAGACTGGAGCTACATGGCATAGCATGCAAGACACTGAGGTTTGTTACCACTGAGCTACACTCACTTCACAGAATAGGCTGACATACAGATTATTTTTAGCAGATGAACAACTTACTAAGTTGTTCTTTACAAAAAACAACACACTTCAGTGACAGGGTTTCTATAGTAAGTATGTTTTTTACATTTATAATTTAGTAAATGCGAAGCCCAGTGAAAAGAGATGTCTCTGGCTTTGGGATAAAGACCTGGTTTTTTTCCAGTGGGGCTAAGAGCAGTAGGAGGAGAGTGCTGACAGGGATTTGTGCAGGAGGAGTAACAGGAACACTGGTAGCAACCGCAGCAGGGTGAACAGGCAGCCCCAGTATTATCCAGGCTGGGAAAATCAATGAGCAGCTCTGGCAGTGTCTGCACACCACAGCTGAGCTAATAAAAAGAAATCCCAGGGAATGTCAGCTTATGACAGAATGGCTCTCCCTGAGATGAACAGCCATTTCCTCCCTTATTAAAAACATCAGCAGAAAAAAACAGCAGCCAAACCAAGCTGCCAGCAGCAAAGGACACATTCCTTTGCCTAATCTGTCCTTCCAGGAATGGGAGAAGTAATATCTTTGGGGATGGAAGAATAAGCAAGCAGTAAATAAAAACACAATGTCATCAAACTAGCTCAAATATGACCGCTCTGTGCCTGGTGGGAGCTGGCAGAGTGCTGGGCTGGGCAGAAACCCAAGTGGGACAGGTTTGAACTTCTGTGCATTGCTGATGCTGCTTCGTGGATTTGTAGGTCTTTGGAGGCGTGCAGGGTCTCTCTGCCCTTTTTCCCCCATCTCTGGTGGTGAGAGGATTTACTGCTATGACCTGGCTGTAATGCTTTGCTGGCTATGTGCAAAGGGTTACTGAAGAGGCAGATGGTTTTGTAGATGTGTCAAAAGCACCAAGCTGGGGTACATGGACTGGGAGGAAACCCCAAGGATTCCTGAAGTGCAGCTGAGCTGGCTAGAGGCATCACCTGCTGTGGCTATGAAAGCATGAGAGGCTTCAAGGGAGATTTTTCCCTTCTGTGGCCAAGAGATGAGCTGAGGGGATCCCTTTGCTTTAGCACCCATCCTCTCCATCTTCCCCAAGGATGCACCCAGGGAGGTAGGCAGCTGTGCTCCACAGTGAATACAGCCCCCATGGACCTGATGCACATTCCCTCCGCGCTCTGCAAACGTGATGTGATCCTTGGCACCATCAGGTCCTAACCCAGGAATAAAGAGAGCAAAATTTCCACCTGAAGCCTCTGTGCAATATTAATGTCTTCTGACTTTGGCTATTCACAACAAGGCTCAGATCCCTGAGCATTCCTGCAGAGTCATTTAGTCATCTTTTCTCTCTTTGCCTTAGTCCATGAAGCTGCCTTCATATTCTACATGGGCAACACAGATGAGTTTCTTCCTCTTCTACCCTCCTCAGGAAGGTGAAGCCCTGCTAACAGAACTCTTTCCTACAACTTCTCCCCAAAAATGGAACAGCCTTTCAGCAACTGCCAGAAGCAGCAGCCATTCTAAGTCCTAGAAACCTCTGTGACCAGAACACAGCTGTATGGGGACAGGTATGCATAGAGAAATGGGTACAGACCTCACCTCACCAAGTGTCACAGACACTACTGCAGACACAACACGTGGCAAGAGCCCACTATTTCCCCTGTACTCACCAACCCCACTGCAACTGAGAGCCAGCTAAGGTCAGATTCAGTTGTGGAGAGGAGGTGAGGCTTAGGAATAATAATTGCATCCATCATGCTGCTCTCCCATGATGGCTGGATTTAGGCAGCTCTGATTACTCACATGGCATCCCAACCCAAGAAATGAGCTACAGAAATTGTGCCAAACATGGTGTAGACATCCACCCAGCCAAGCTGCCAGAAATGTGAGTTTCTGGAAAAAGCCTGGTCACAGTGTCATCAGCTTCTGCTGTCACACTGATGGTCCTACTCAGCCCAGTGCCAAGGGAGAGCTGGGATGTGGTTCCACCACAGCACGACCACTACCTTTGCTTTGGTCCTCACATTCACCCTGCTCTTGGCCAGAAAGGAAGGGTGCAGCAAGACACAAATCAAGGCTTAGCACTTGCCAGTGTGAGCTACATGAAGTTCAGAACACAGGATCAGCCTGCAATAACTCCAGCCTGCTCCTCTACTGCTTTAGGCAATGGACTGCTACATTTCACTCAGACTTCATATATTTCTATTCCTTTCTCTCCTCAGCTTGCTTTATGCTTCCACTCCCAAAATAATTAGCACAGTGTAACCTTTTTGTGGTAAAGAAAAACACCTGAAACTTTCCTATGAATTGCAACAGTAAAACACCTTTCTTTTTTTTCCTCCTTTCTATTTGTATTTAAAAAAGAAGAGTAAGATCTGGCACTCACTACATACTGATAAGCAACATTTATCTACCCTGGGGGTACCTTTGCTTATTCTGGTTTGGGTGGTTTTTTTAATTGCATTTTCCCACCAGCTCTGAACTTGTTTTCTGGCTGCATAATTTTCCCATGATACATTTAAGATGCATCTGCTATAATTAGTATGATGCAAAGCACAAGCTTATGAAAAACAACTTGTAAATTTTGAATAATTCTACAGCAATTACATAGGTAGGATGGCTTATTTAACGATGGGATTTGTTCCACAGCATGGGAGCCACCACATTTTTTTTTCAGTGGCTGGAGGGGGACCTGCAGGTGAGGGTCCACTGCTCTTCCCAGAAGTTATGCATCCTGCTTGTGTACACAGCCAGCTCTTGGTCTTGGATGCTGTTATTTTACTCCAGTGGGCAAATAAGAAACTCTGAGCCCAACTTATTTTAACAGGCAGAACGCATCTTCAAATTAAATTCTCCTCTTAATCAGCTGCTGTCCTAGTCAGACCAGAATTGATTCCAGCAACTCCTACTCTTCAAGCACACCAATAAATCCCTGCCACCATGGTCAGCTGGTGGCATTTTCTGTCCCTCTGCACAAAGACATATTGCTTTTTCACCCTGCAGAGCCAGATGGCCATCAATCACCTCTCCTCAGCCACGCTACCTTGCAGCTCCACCTTGCCACACACACTCTGCTAATAATTACACCTCAGCCCAGAACTCCCAGAGCGGCCACCGAGACCCCTCTGGAGAACAGGCTCTTGTGCCATGTTACCAGGCAGGGACATCATTCACAAGCAGATGTGACACTTGTCAGACTGGTGCTGGTTTTTGATTAGCAGGACTATGATGTCTGCTCCCCATGATGCCCAGTTTTCAGTCTCATTAGGCAGGGTGCTGTGGATACTCTTTAAGGCAAAGGATGTTCCCTATGGATCCAAAAATTCAAACAACTGAAGTCAGGAAACTACAAATCTCAATCATGGGAGAAAACTGTTTCTGTTGCAAAACTCCCAGAATATTATTAATTATTGTGAGAGATCTGGTCATTGCCAGAACACTGGTCTAAGAGGACTTGCAGAAACATACTACGTCATTTCCCCAAGGATCATTCCACCTCCAAGAAGACTAACAGGTCATGGAATGACTGAGGAATGCCTTTCTGAACCAGCCACAAGATTAAAAAATGGCTCAAAAGCATATCTATGAGGAGTGAGCATGAGTCAATGAATGACAACAACCCCCATGTTTTTAAACCTCCACTATTCCAAACTAGAAGATATTGTGCTGCCAAGACTTTAAAATCAACTCATTACAATGGCATAAGCGATGTCACATAAGCCACCTTCTGTGCCAAGAGCCACATGGTCACCTCCACCATGGAGCGAGACCGTGCCACCAGGAAGAGCAAGGTGACAAGCAGCTGGCAGGACAAGTTGCAAATGTCTGCATATTTATATCTGAAATATGTGCCTGTGTTATGTGGGAGGAAGCCCTGCCCTGCCTTTGCCCTCAGGCCAGGATGATCACTGAGGTGGACATGCCAGGAAGCTGTCCGCTTGTATCGGAGTCAACAGAGTGGAGCCAATTTGGCTCCTACAGCAATGGTACTTTGGCTGCAGCCAAATGATAAAACATGACCTGAAAGTCTTGAGGGCAGTTGTTAACACCCAGGAACAGCCACTAGCTAACAGCACACTGGCTTGGCACTCGGGAATCTTCCAGCTGCAGCTCTTTCCAACCTGCAGGATGAACATGGGCGAGGAAGGGTCTTACATACTTTTCCTGCAAGCTGAGATAACAGCAGCTCTGCTTGTCTCACGAGGTTTGGATGGAAGTGCAGACAAGGCTGACCCATTTGCAGTCTGAGAGGAGGCTTGTTGAGCACTGGGCTGTATCTGCACCACGCAGCAGGGATCGCCCCCATTCACACCAGTGGAGTGGATCACTGTCGGCACTTCCCAGCTGCAACCCCTGACTTCAGTGACTCAGGCATATCTGTTAATTCCAGGTGGGTGATAACGAGCCAAACACACATTTCTTATGAAAATTCAAGCAGTTGTAGGGAATTGACAAAACCAGACCCAGGACTGCAGAATGCCGTTAAGCTGTAAATACGTGCTCTGAATAGGCCTTTTCTTCAGGCATCTCCCAAGACAATGGCACAAACATTTAATGGCATATTTCCTGGACTAGGACTGACTCCAGCAGAATGAAGTGGTTACCACAACTTGCAGGAGCAACAGATATATCCTGCCCATCTCAGCTGGACCCAGCTGTTGTGTGAAATGTGCCCCCAGGCTCCCATTTCTTGTTTTGCAGAACTTTTGTCATATATAATGATTATTTAATACATATTTTATTGCACCTCTTCACATTCCTCTTCAGATTATTAAGTGGAACAGAAATACACAAAGTAGTGACAGTGGAAGACTACTTGAGAAAAAGAAGCTTTAAAGCCATAATAGCTTTTGTGGTTATGCTGGTTATGGAAATGAATCTGAAAAGTTCTGCCTTCATGGAAGATGCCAGTTCCAAATCTAGCTCAGAGCTGTGGATTTTGCTACTGTGCCAGGTACATGAAATGGAGACACCACAATAAAGAAAATGACTACGTCAAAATCTTATGGGCATCAGGGCCTTCTCTTCTTTCTCCAGCAGTTTAAACTGTTCTCAACCAAAGACAGCCAAGGCAGCTCAGGAAATGGAGGATCATCTCAATCATTCTCCTGTTCTTGAGTAAAATCCCAAATGTGTGCTTTGGTCCCAAAACCACTGCTACCACAAGGAACATCTACCTCCAGGATTAATTTCTTTAGCTTCAGTGGGGTTAGTCATGTGAAAAGCAGATTTACACCATAGACATAAATGCACGCAAGGGAACCAGCTAGTCATGTACTGGCCTCAAGTAGATGCCCAGTCTATACAGGATGGTATCAGAGGCTTCCCTCTCATCTGTCACACTCTGCATCTCTCTGTCACACAGTGAGATGCAGACAATGTATTTTCCCCTCAGCTGGAAGGAGGAAAACACTGTTGGCTCCACACATGCACCTCACACAAACACCTGTGGCAGTGTATTTGCAGCTGCCACCAGCAGGACACCCAACCTTGCACCTCATGAGACGGACTGCACACTTCTGTCTCCCACATTGCTACTCCCTGGTGACACAGGGAGGACCCTATGAGAAAGAACCCAGCCAGGAGATGTTCTGTACTAGTTAGCAAAGGACATAGCAACAGCTAAACCTGCTCACTCACTATCCCCAGCTCAGAGCTGCCCATGCCAAGAGTGCAAGACAGGCTTTGCATTGGTGTGACTATTTCCTGTTTCACCACAGAGCAGAAAGAAGACTTACACCAGATGGTTTCTACTTTCAGAGTTACTGTCACACAGCAACTTCCCTGCTCAGCTCCATTAGTAGTAACAAAATGGTGCCACACATTGACCACTTTTCCTGCCCAGTGCATAGGCAGCCTGGGAATCTGCAATGCCTACCTTAACTTCCACATGTGCCATCAGGACTGCAAAGTTGGTGAGGTGGTTGCAGGAGCACGTGGTGTGTGTCTTGTTAGTTGTCAGGAGGCGACAGCCCTGGGTGGACCAATACCCTGTCATTGTACGCTTTGTGTAGCTCCAGAATGAACAGTTTGGGTTAAAATTTTCTTCTGACTGCTGCAGGGAAGAAATTAATAAATGCAGTAACAATGATAGGCTCTCAGAGATTTTTAAATGCCCTACTGAGGCTCTTTGTAACTCTCACCCTTTAATTTTAGATAAACAATTAGCAGTGGTTTATACGTCAAGTATTACTTGCCAATACCAGAGAAAGTTAAATTGTTGCTTCACTCTTTGCTAATGCAAACTTACTTCTTTGTTCTTGACTAATTTCAGACATTGACTAAATCCAGCTCTTCAAAACCAGACTGCTTCATTTGCATTGCAGAGCAGAGAAATTAATTGCTTTAAGCAATCAACTTTTGCAACGACCGAGCTTGGCTAGCAGGAGGACTAGCTGTCCTCTTTCACTGTAATTCTGCTTCCCTCTAACATCCTCTGCCACCATGATAAAATAACATTATGGTCTATTCTAATTTATTGGTAGTTTTTAATTACAGAATGATGTGTGTCAGCAACCGAGCAATGGACATCAGCTCAAAGGAGACACTTTCTTTACTTCTATTAATGCAATGTAAGAGACACCTTCTCCATAAATAACACAAAGTGCAAAGGAACAAAAGTATAATTCAAAATCTAATCAAGGACTGCTGGGGGCCTCACAGCAGCCAACTTTTGCATCATTTCATTTCAGAAACCAAAAAAAAAAAAAAAAAAAAAAAGAGAAGTGCTTTCTGAACTCACACACCTTGATGTGCTTGACAGTAAACACCACAGGATCAGCCAGGTAAACCTTATTGCTGAACTCCTTATTTATTGCTGCCGTGATGACAGGGGAGTTGACAATGACAGAGTGATTGGTCGACATCGCTTCTGTTCCCAACTTCATGCTGGCATTCTCCGTGGAGAGATAAGTGCCCAGGTTGTTGTACAGCACAAAAGCCACCCTGATCTCACCTAGAAGAGAGGTAAGAGGTTAGACAGCCAGGTTGAGTCACTGGGGTGGCTTTTTGTTTTTCAGATTGCAAATCTTTTCTCTTAACCAACTTCAAAACTGCACTGAGAAAATGTGAAAGGACCAGGATGTGGCATATGAAAACTCATCTCTTGCCAATTCCAGTGAGCACCAAGAGGTGCAGCAAGCAGTCCTTGGATAAGAAGAGCAGAGCTCCTTCTTCCAGAAGAAACTTTTATAAGCAAACAGATGAGCGGAAGACAGACAGGGAAGGTGGGCTTATTTTTGGCATCAGGAGGTGTAACTGGCTTCAGAAAAAAAGAGGCCAGGTGGTCCATTTCCCACCTGACATCACTTTATTCTCCTGGATATACCTGGGAAACATGTTTCAAGCTAATATGTTGCATAGATGCAGTATAAAACTATAATTTAGTCTGGTAATAAATTAAGACTATCTCAGGAAAATGTAGGGACAAATCTGGAAGAATAAATCAAAACCATTCCAACAGAATTCCAATCTCATTTGACAGGTAAAACAAAATTTCAGACATTTCATTTAAAAATATATCTATTCTCTTAATTTGGCAATCAGATAATCAGAAAAAAACCATTAGAGAGCCTGCAGAAATCTGAGTCTACCAGCCAACTGCTTTTAACTGAAACCATCCAGTTTGCCTTCTGTTTTGCACATTATTTCACAGCCTATAAATAAGAACAGAATGTGATTAGTTCACCTTCATATGTATTAGTTGTGGAGAGGTATGTTTTTGTTTCTATATGAATCACCACAGCATCTGAGGAAGGTGAGACACTGATGACTCCAAAGGTTCCTCCCAGCCTAAATCCTTTTATGATAATTCCATTTGTAGCTCTTTGGTGACCTCTGGGCACGTGTCAAGCTGGTGAAAATTGATGGGGTTCTGCTTTGAACAGAACTCCAGTGATACTGTGTCTCGAAATACAAAACTTTCCTTTCATTGTTGACAACAAATAGCAAAGTCCTGCCCTGTTGGAGTTTTGCTACACATCTTGAGTTTTAAACTGCCTCTAAAAGAGGTACTTCTCCTCCACTCCTATGTGCAAGCAAGACAATGGCAAGACTTTGTGTCTGAACCATCAGACTGAACTTTGTCTAAAATTTTTATGGTTAGACATTTTAACACATCTGGTCTGGTTGTAATGCTGCCCTATCATTCCATGGTTTTTTGCTTTACACAGAGGAAGGTTAAGCACTGGCACAGATTGCCCAGAGAGGCTCGGAATGCCCCATGCCTGGAAGTGCTCAAGGCCAGGTTGGATGGGGCTTGAGCAACTTAATCTAGTGGAAAGTGTCTCTGCTCATGGCAAGGGGGTTGGAACCAGATGATCTTAAAGGTCTCTTCCAACCCAAGCCATTCTATGATTCTATGTTTTGCCTGCAGTGACCAAAACCTGTATATGAGTGTTGTCCCCTGCACACAGATTACATTTTAAAGGAACTCAGAAACAGGACTATGTTGGGCCCACCAATAGAAGCCTATGAGTTTAAGGCTGGTCTGCACTGAGGCCGTAGAGATCAACAAACGTGTCTGCTCAAACTCCTGATCTGGAAATAAATGGCTTGGCAGGATCAAGACTGTTCACATATAACATCATCTAAAATTTATGCTGCACCAGGAGGTTCATAGGATACAGAAAGCCACTAAAGATTTAGACTCATAACAGTTAATCAACCTTTTCTGCCATGTTGGCTCATTATTAATATTTCCTACCATTGTTTCTTCCCTGTACTTTTTCAGACATTTGTATGGTGCCCTGCTGTGAAGCAGTTTACTCAAATGAGCCTCTTATCCCATCTGAAGCCTCCTACTGCAGAAATCAGCACTTAAAAGCACTTCTCTGGATTCAGCACTGTGCCCTAGAAGCTCCCTAATTTGAGGATCTGATGCATTTTTACCATCACAAAACACTTTTGAAGGCTGTGAATCACTTATCAATAGAATACATTCCCAGTCAGCCAATGTAGCTTGCAGTCAAGGACATGAGCAAATGACACCACTGTTAATTTAAATATCAACACAACAATTAATACTTTACTTATAATGGTTAAACACAAAACAATGCCTAAAGGCATGGCTGCCTCATGAGGCTGGAGTGGCCTGAGGTGCCAGACCTACCATTTCGACCATTCTGCTTCAAGGTATTTGCTGACAGCTGAATGGCGCTTCCATGGCCCATGTTCTGGGGAAACTTCAGATCCTCCAGATTCCCATCTGTGCTCAGTCTCGCAACTTCCAGCTCTGTGTGCAGGAGAGACAGACACTAAGAAAAAAATCTCTGCCGAAATGATCTTCAACACAGTATTTCAAAGCTACAAAACGGTGTTCCAGACCAACTGAGAGGAGGGGCATTAACTTACAATGCTGCATGCTAGAATGCTCCTATTTCTTTTAAATCTTTGCCCTGAAGAAGTTTTAAATTTAATTAAAAAAAAAAAAAGCGCGCAAATAAATTCTACTCTCTGTGGAAGACAAAAGACAACCGGTTCTTGTAAACAAGAACCTCAGGATATTAAGGACAACGGTTAAAATGAAAATCTGAGAATACTAGTTCTTTGCCACTGGCGATTGGTACTTTCTGTAAATGTTATCAGTGCTCAGGATCTGTATTCATGGAAATAGAAAGAAGAGTTGTTCTCATTTTACATATGCACAGTGGGAGTGCTGGTGCTTTCCATCATGCTTGTTTTTTAATTAAAATCAACAATCAGCTGAATAAAGACACAAATTTGTATGAAATGAAATACAATTGCCTTACAATGAACAATCTCCCTGTGAAGCTCTGCTCTCGTTGCTCTAGCACAGATTATACCCTCAAAGCCGGCAGTAATAAAGACAGGTCAGACGCTCATTTTCCATGGGATTTCAAGGGTAGAGAGCTGCCTTACTCCTTTAGGCTCTTTTGGAAAGACTTTGAAGTCCTTCAGACAAAGGCCCAAGACATATCTAACGAATCGCTCTCCAATTAATCTAGGGACCCAACCAAAGCCGGGCTTCACAGCCTTTACTCTTCCATTGGCTGCTCCCGGTACTGATGGGATCTGCCCCTTACGGATGTTGTCAGTGTTCTCCCGGACGATGTCCGTCTTCAGCAGGTTGTCAGCCAGCACGAAGGCGCTGTCCTCCACTGTGTCCAGCAGCTTGGTGGCCGCGCGCTGCTGCTCGCTCGCGTTCAGGTCCCTCCACGCGTTCAGAGCCTGAGGCTGCAGGAGGTTGTTCACCGTCTCCACCATGGCCTGCAAGGTGGGGGGATGGAGTGAGAAAGGGCTCCAGCAAACCCAAAGCACCACAGACCTCTGACATATGCTCAGTCCCAGCCTCCACACACATCAGCTTATAGGGGGATGACAGCATCTCCTTCCCCCACCCATCAGGGAAGCCTGCAATGGAGCAGGACAACTTTTATACCATCAGATGGGACAGGGAGGAAATACTGATATTATTATAAATGCAGGCTGGGAATGGTGCTTTTCTGCTTCCATAACCATCAGCTCCGGGCTTGGAAAAAGGAGGAATTAGGGCAGGTGGGGAAGGAGGGGTATGAAGAAGATGATGGTTAAGGAAACATGCAGGAAAAACCCAACTGCAGCACCAGAACTCAAGAGCAGGGCTGGGGCATGCAAGGAAGGTGTTTGGTATCTGCAAAGGCTACACTCCCTCAAATATTTCCCAGCACATAACCTCTGGCAGGCAGCGATGAAGACACAGAGATAGCTGAGTTACACCACTTCATACAGAGCAGCAGCAGCAGGTGCCCGTAGAGATTTAGATAAGACCCTACATCTCAAATCTCTGCATTCAGGAAGGAGCCAGCCCTGCGGAAACTGCTTCAGTCCCTCCTACAGTGCACCTTCTGCCCTGGGCTGCCACACAAAGAGCTCTCCCATGGATAAATTCCCACAGGTTAATCTGGATGCACACACAGGATCACACAAAACTGCACTGGTCTCATGAATGCAAAATTACTGCAGTAGAATTTACCCAAACTGAAGGCTTTTCTCCACCTAAGTCCTCTGCTTCCTTACTAACCAGAGCTGACTCAACCCCTTTTCAGTGAACATTTTTTAATGAGACCAGCTGTACCAGTTGATAGAAATGATTGTGCAGAGGAAAAGGATAAAAAATAAGCTAGTTTGATCATGCTTTCTTCAGCTGGTTAGGGTCTAGTCACCAGGCAAGCCTACCCCACAGAGAAACACCTCCATGGCCAGCTAACACTGACTGCAGAAACCAACCTCCCATTCAAGATGAAACTGCTGTTTGTAATGATTTTCTTTATGCTGAGCACATAGTCATCAAACCCACACCTCTGCTCTGCAAGCTGATGACAGTCCCATGGGACTTTAACATTTTCCAAGCCTAAAGTGTGCCCCATGGGCTCACTGTCATGGGAATACTTCATTATTTATTCCTGATACTGTTGCTAAACCCCAGGGGTGGAAAGAAGCTGTGGCACAGACCCTTCTCCAGCAGAGCCCTCAGGAGGAGGGCTACAATGGCAACACGTGGCACAGAGAATCCTGACTCACTCACCAGTCATGGTCAGGTGCAAATGAGCAACAGGAGGATATGATCACATCAAACTAGAATTTATTGCTATATCCACATGACCTTAACAAGCATTTCAATTACAGCAAGGTTCGAGGAGAAAAAAGGCAGCTAGAACTGCCACTGTTGGTGCTTTTAATCCCAGCAAAGATACCTTCTTTGAGTATGGAAGGTTTCTCACACCATCAGGTTTCCTGTTGGGAGACTGCACCATAATTGGGCTCCTCTGACAGCACAAAGCTCCTACTTTCACAGTTACATTTATTCATGGTCAATTAACTCATTTGTTCTTATGCCAAACCTCTCCTATACCATAAACAGAACAACACACTCATTTGGTCTTAAGTGGAACTTGATAAGCATAAAGCAATTTTTTAACTGATTATTAAACTGATTTTCCTGAATAGTCTAAGAATTATCTTAACACATTTGCCATGCACTTACAACAAGCAGGTTAAAATGAGTAGTCAAGAAGAAATAGAAAAATCCATATCATTTAAATCCGATATTTTTCTGTGTTTTAGAGTTTGGAAGCCTGATCTCTGCAGCTCTTAATAAAATTCTGTAGTATATTATGGTAGCTTATCTCTTCACAGGCAAAAAAAAGGTGGTGTTTTTTCCCAGTGAGCAAAAAGCTTGATTATTTTGTGGTGCAGCTTCTACACAACATGGTGTAAAGACCTTTTATTTCTGGAAAGCAGAAAATGAGGATTTTTCTCCCCTTTCAATGTTATCACACAATTTGCCTTACCTCCATTTAGCTCAGCTCCTACCATTGTCTTAAATTCTCTGCTAAAACAACATCCTGCATACTTTTATCAATATCTGAATGGTGGAAAATGTCTTTGCAGCAGATCCAGCTCCTGGCTCTGGACAGAAAGGTAATGTCTATTCATCAGAATATGAAACAGATGCTGAAATATTTGCATTACAGTGAAACATCTGCTGCAAAGACCTTACCTCAGAAAAAACTATTTTATCTAATGCATTAGTTTTTTTTTTGTTTTACATGTGCACATATGTGTGCATGCAAGTTTGAGAGAGAATACCAATTAAGCCTAATGTGCTGCTTCCTGCACCATGTGCACTCCCCACACAATGCTGAGTATCCATTCCTCTGGAAGTGATAACCTGAAACCAGCCACTTCACATCACTTTGGGTCTGGGGTCAAACACAAAAGCTCCAGGAAGATTTCCAAGGACTTTGGGTCACATCCTTGCCATGCATCTGAGCAAAGCTGGTAGACTGTCGTTGCTGGCATTACATCCGAGATTAATTTAGTCCCCAGCTTTTCCTAGAGGGTTATTCCCCTCACCTGTCTCAGTGCATTAATCAAGTGTTTCCCACATTATATTTCTGAGTGCAGCACTTCATTATGGCCGAGTGCTGTGGGCTGAAGCCAAGGAGATGAGGTGCTAATGAAATGTTTGCATTTTGGACAGGAGCTGAGGTAGGTGTTTAAATGAAACAAAACAGCTGTTATAGCAACAGTGCCTTGTGAGACAGAGATGCCAACTGGGAAAAGTTGGGCAGGGGAGTGGGAGTTGTGGGAAAGTAGGCACACATGACAAGGATAGGCCTGTGTCTTTACATTTAAGCTGGGCCTTTGTGATTTATGAGGGCTTGGCACCTGGTCCATTGACTCTGTGGTCTGATGAAGCTCCAGCATAGAAGAAACAGCTGTGCCAAACTTCCAGGAAAACCTCTCAGTGACCAGCTGGAGGAGGTTTAGCCCTGAGAGAGAACCTTCAAAATGCAGAAGGCATGGGATAGGAGTGCTTGGGAGCTGATGGCTTGATAGGTTTTACCTGAGACCCCTGGGGATCCTGATAAAGGTGGGACCTTCAGAGGGAAAGTTCTGACCTAGTTTCATCTCACCCCACTTCTAGCATTTAATGTGCAGCCAAGTAGGGAACCCAGATACTTTCCAGTTTCTCTTTCCCCATTGAAAGTAGAAGAAACTACCCCAAGGATTATCCCCATTTCACCCAAAACCACATGAGATCAAACCCATCCATAAAGAACCAAACATCTGTTACAGAATGCTGCATGACCTCCATTGAAGACCCTGTCCTTGCTTCCCAAGCTAAAGAAGTACATCTCTTGTGGTTTTCTTTTCTTCCTCTGCCTCATCCCTCTTCCAAATGCAACTCATCTGAGCTTCTTGCAAAATAAAAATGTGGGGCTTGGAGCTCAAACATACCTCAACACCACACACAGCAAGGCACCAAACCAATGCTGTGATTACTTGGACTTAAAGAGTAGACAGCACAAGCACACAGATGCACCAGGAGAAGGACAAAAGTAACTCAAATTAGATCAAGAGAAAGCTTTCATAAAGCACAGCTCACTTGTTTGTAGGCTAAGATCAAATGAGGGAAGAAGAGCATGGCAGAAGGGAGCCAAGAGGGCAGACTTTCTGTCTTTCTGTGCTTAGATACACAGCACAGCTTTATGCTCTCTGTGATGTCAGGGTATCTATACATGCAAAGCCAAACCCTCTAATTACCAGCCTGTAAAGAGCAACCATCCTGGGTCACTGAATTTTAGACACAGTGGACCTTTCATGTCCCCAGCAGTGACTGCAACTGGACATCAAGAGAAGAGCAAGACCCTGCTGAGCACAAAAGACAAATCTCGTGATGGTGATGCCTTTCATTATGTGCTTATATAGAACCACAGACTGTATGTTCAATGCAAATAAATGTTAATAAATTGCAGACAGAGGTTTTTCCCAAATAAGGGCATGTGCTCGTGATTTCTTGTTCTATCCTGAGGTTACAAAGAAGAATCAAAATGTAAACCTTCCTTCTTAGACACTTACAAATTGGTATTAAAAGATGCATTGTAAAAAGGAAATTAATTAGAAGCCTTACAGTAATTATGCATTACTAAAAGGCCAGTTGTACGTATTCCCATTGATTTCCTTTGTGACAGCTGCTACATTTCATTAAACTGAATTTTGCTTGTTCATTTATTCTTCTCTTCTCTTCTCTTCGTACCTGGCTATGTGGCACACAGTTAAAACCTAGGAGGTTTGAACCCTGTATATATCCAATGATACCATATCTGTTTAATTTTCTCTCACTGTACCAACATCCAAGACACCACTTTTTGATTAAAAAGAATTTTGCAATGTAAAATCTCTCTTTAACTGGGACTCAACACTGAAAATCACTCAGAGATGTTAGAGGTACTCAGATCATTGCCAAATTTAGCACTAGACTGCAATGTGCCATGGTGCTTAAGTACAGCAGCCCTAACCTTAGAAAACCAGCAACTTTCCTAGAGTTAGGATCTCTTTAAATCTTTTTTGTTCATTTTGGCCTTTTGCTGAGCAGCTGATGGAAGATCAAAAATCTCAACAAACCTACAGCTGGAGAAAATACTGCTTTATGGCAAGTGAATACCAGCAGGTCCTATAGGGAATATTGGTTGAATCCTTCTGGTGAGTAGTTTTCAAATATGCAGTTTGTCCTTCCTTATAAAGGAGCATCTCCTTAAGAAGAGACTGAACACACTTTATTTAGCATGAAACTTACATCAAGGACTTACCTCCTATAGCAGCTTTGGGAGAATAAGACAGTGGCACAGGGCAATAAAGTACCACTTTTGCAATAACATCACTAATTAAAACATCTGGATTTTATAACCTGTAAAGCCCTGCCTCATACTGCTGACGCTTCC